CAGCAAAATGTCACGAACTTATTATGGGACCGCTCGATACGTGTAAGTTGGAAAAATCTATGAACCGACAAAGGGAAAAGTGAATGGAAAAACTGCTAGGAGTTGTGTTTAGATTTCTGAGATAAGCATCCCGAAGGAAAAAAAGGAAAAAAAACAATGCACCATTCGGTACAGGATCTGACGTTATCGCTGACAGAAGTTCAGATCAGGAATCTCGCCCGCAACTGTCTCTGTTATGCAATTTTACCCATGATTGCTCACTTTGTGCCTCTCCGCAGACAGGAAAATTAACGTGGTTGATCATCTAGGATGTAACGTTCCCCTGGATGTGGGTTAATGCACCGGAGGAATGACTGAAACGACGTTTCGCGGGACGGCACTTTCTCGCGATTCCGAGGCTTTCTTTCTGTCTTCGTTAGCGACCGATTTCGAATTTCTCGGCCAATCTCCGGAATCATTTGGCGGCAGAAAATGTATGGATTTCAAGGAAACGCGAGACCACGAAATGCCCCGGATGTCGTATCTTACTTTCTTTCCTGTATTTTTTAATTTCCGTGGCCTCGTTCGACTAACTCTCGTCTCGCGAATTCATGAGGTAAGAATTTGTCGTCAAATTAGAGAAAAACGGTAATGGGCCGATAAATGTCCCGAGGGTCGTCGGAAGAAGAGAGGCTAACTCACGTAGGATTTCGTGCAGGCGTGACGCTCGTGAATCTTCGGAGTGGCAGCTTTGATCGTACCGTTCAACCCGGAAACCGGTGCAACCGGATGCACCGGGCAATTTGCGATTCCAACCCGGAAATCGGGGAATAAAATGGCGGTTTAATAAGAGCAAGCTCGAGAGGACCCGCGGCCTGGAAACCGCGGTCGCGGATACTCGCTTCTTCCTCCCTTGCACTTTTCACCTGAGGTTCTTGCGCCGCTGGTGGTCCAAGAAAAAAAGAGGACGGAACAAAAGATGAACGGAGTCGTTAAAGTCCGCAGACGGATAACTGGGGTCTCCTCGATTGTATAAAAAATAGGAAAACTGATCTGCTGCAATGGTCGGAAATTACGTAGCGAATATGATTTAAATTGAATTTTCATTTTTTTAAAAAGTGTTTTTTTTGTATTTACCCTAGACTAGACCAAATCACATTTTTTTTTTTGTGAAGAATGAAATTTCACAAGCATCGCGTTCTTCCTTAGGGCCTCCATAATCACGTGTTAATGATTCAAATAATTCGATGCATCCAGTTTGGAGAAAGGTTTTATAAATATTTTAATGTTTCATATATAAATATATAGACTGACCCTTTCATATCACCTTAAATCCCGATCGTAATCGGCCCGTTCGGTTATCACCGGGTAATTCTGATTGCAGCGGTATCCCGGACCCCGAACGCATATTTGCAATAATTATCCCCGCGACTCGGGCCCCTGTAGCGCGCAATTACAATTTTATAGTTCCCCGCAGGTGCAGATCTCTCGAGGATCCCCCATCGCGAATCGCCGCAGCTGCGGATCCTTCGAATCGTCCTGGCAGGTGTGCAGGGCCAGGGACCAACCATAGGGACATCGCGGGCCTCGAAAAATTATGACCACCCGTCGTTAGTCTAAAACCTATAACGTAACAAATTGACTGTAGCCGGCGCGACCGATCGTTAGTCACGTACCGCACTCGAGTCGTTTTCGAGTTAACTTTGACGTTTTTATGAGGCACTTAACTTTAGTCATAACGCGAGCCTACCAGCGCCTTTAAGCCCGAAACATCAACACCTCGGCTCGGTGTGCTCCTCCTCTGGTGACGTCGCGCGCCGCCATCTTGGTTCCCAGATCTCGGTTGAAATCTTTGATTGAAAATATAAATCTCGTATAAATGGAGAGGATGGAGTAGACATTGCTATTGTAAGAGATACACAATGACGTCGGACACTTATTTTAGTCGCAATGGAGAAGCAACAACGTATGGCCACATGTTTATGGTTTGCAGTAAACCTTTTACACAAAATTAGGACCTCGTGGTCCGTTTCGCACGGGGGCCGGCATACTACTTTCCTTTCGAGTCTAATGTCACACACCGTGTACTCTGGGACCTATTCTACACACACACACACATACATTTACATGTGCATTTATATAGGTTACACTACATCACATAGAATGGGCGAGGAACACGGTAATGGTAATTAGAAAGGTGGCACCATAGGTGTATCTTTTCGCTAGGTACCCCAGGTATTACCTCCGGTCGCAAATGTCTCCGTAAGTTCGATCCTCGTGTTTCTGCGATTCGCTCGCGAGTGTCGATCGAAAGCGCGGTCAAGTGATTTACACGCGTTATGCAAATCCGCGGGGAGGGCGAAAGATCGAGCCTAAAGCGGAACCCCGGGTCATCGTTACTTGTATTTAACGCTACGCTCGGTCGGTAAACGGTGAAAGATTACAGACGACGATAGGCCCGTAATGATGCTAATGTATGCGACTCAGGTACTGCGGTTCCTGCCGACGCCCCCTATGCGCGACCATGCATCAGCCTCGCACGTGGCTGTAACGGCGGTTCCAAGTCAAACTATCTGCGGCGGATTTATTTAGTTTTTATTCCATTCAATGTAGAAATCCGCGACGTACAGGGTGTCCCAGAACTCCTGGGAATTCCTCATACTGGTAGAAGTTGAAATTCCCTCTTTTAATTTCTTCCTCGAGTGGTTATTCATCAAGTTGTTAACGTGATGTCGAACCTCCCTCGAAACAGTCGATTCGAATAAGACACTTTTTTCTTTTTAACAATATTCGACCGAACTGTCTGAAACTTTAATATACGACTCGTGGACACCTAAGAATCATCTTGGCACTTTCAAAATTTAGATTCGATTTGGATCGAGAAAAAATTGAGGAAAAAAGTGTCGATTTTGTATGTTATCTCCATCCATCTATTTCGGGGATTGCCAGTTCTCGGAAAAACAATTTTTTGACATTTCTTTAGTCTCTGGTGTTGGATGATCAGGGGGTGAACTGGGCTGCGCTTGTATAGAAAAATCGGAGACATCAAGGAAGTTGGAGTAATTACAGAAAATCTCTGATGTCACGAGGGATGGGAAATTTTTCAAAGAATTTATCGCGCAGCTCCCTCCAAGTTTCGTGATGGATTTTAATTATCTGTCCGCCGATCTGGCACGGATCTCTATCAATTCCTGATTACGTCCGCGTAATCAGCCCGGACGGGTCGAGTTTGCAAAGGTATCCGAATCCCCGAGTGCAATCGTTATCCCCCTTCGCTCCGACAATTACCAGCCGAGTCAGTCAAGTACTAAAGTTCTTATCGCTACTCGCGGCGCTTAAGTTACCCGGAGACGAGCCGACTTTGTTGGCAGCCCTGGCTGTAAACCGAGCCGAAGGTTCCGATCGTTTGCTCGTTTCACCGATACATCCCTTTCCAGGTTAATAGAATATTGACGTCCCAAGGGATGAGCATTTGCCGAGGTAACATTACCCTCGACGTTGTTCTGATTATCGGTACTCCTCGGCCGTGAGCACAAAGGGATGCTCTGGCTGCATCTTCGCCGCATCTACTGCAGATCGGTGGTCTACTAAATTCATTATCGGATCATAATCGATCCTCGAATTTAATTAACCGTTTGAGTTCTAGGGGGTATTGAAAAAATACTGTCGAAGAATCCCGAACAGCGCAACCGCGCTTTCTCTAAATGAGTACGAGAAGATCCAAGCAGCGCGATAGCGCTTTGTTTATTTTATGTCAATAAATCCCACTCGGCGCGATAGCGTTTCTCGAAATGTAAGATGTATTATTTACATTAAGCCCTTGCGTTACATTCCAATAGCGCGTGTCATAAACAACAAAAGTGTCGGTCATACATCGGCCCATTTCACGGTTTGGCTGAACGTAACTTCTTATACGTTTTGTTTACATTTGGCCCGTTTGACATACCACGTCTCTCCCACGTTTTGTTCACGTTTGGGCCGATTGATTTACCACGTCTCTCACACGATATTGTAAGTTAAGAGGTTAAAAGAAGGAGCTGTGTAATGTACTTGGGTCAGTGAATCTGAGCGACTTTGACAATCGGTGACGCACCGTCAGTTGTCCACAACGCTCGAAATGTGCTAGGTTTTCTCGACATAAAATCTGAACAGCGCGATCGCGCTGCCTGGGACTCAAACGGTTAAAGCCGATAGACGGCGATATAATTGACACAACGATTAAGAATAATTTATTAAATAATTTTCTCGACATTCGTGTACAGTCGATGAATAATTTCCCCCGAGGGGCGCCTGAAATTATATAATTTTCAAGATCGCTAAAGTCTCTCCGGGAATGAAAGTGAACGTTCGTTTAAGGAGATTGAATACAATTCTGCAATTTGGCTGAGATTGACATCATTTATTAATTTCTTCTTTTTTTCGTTTGATCGAATTTCGCAGTGGGTGACTCGATCGGTTACGTAAAGTGCACCGAAAAATGGCTCATGGCCGAAACGAGGACGACTCCCTGCTCGCAGGATTCGCCTTAATGTTCCGCACGAAACCCGTTTAGCTCGGTTTAATGAGTATGTACGTCGGGTAAGTACGAGTCGGTGCACGCTCGAGTTGATAAGTGTGCACAGGGCAGGGCCGATTCGGCACGATGCGCGATGCAAGGTAAGATCATGCCAGGATGTGGAAGAGTCAATTAAAAAGAGAAAATTGGCATAGCCTACTTTGCAGAAGGAAGAAAAATCACAGGAAAACGGAATAAGGAGGAGGACCCTGGGTACAAATTGCTACCCAGGGTGCACCTCAAATACGTACCTACCCATTAGATACGAAGCTCGTATTATAAGTGCACTTTTCATAGAAATCCTCTTTTCCATAGAAATTAAAAATAGTCACGTAATCAGGGATTTGTAAACTCAATTTTTTTGATCATGATAATATTTTCCTTTCTCTAAAATGTAGTATTGTATAATACACATTTTTTTTTTGGTATAGACATCGTTGAAGTTTGTTTTTTTTTTCTTCCGCAGTTGGGCATCTGTTCCACCAACTTCGTGGGTGTTGCATCGTAAATGAAGTGCCGAGGGGGAAGGGGCTATGCAAGCAGGACCTCAGGTCACTAAAAATTAATTTGTTTTAAAAATCTGGAAAACGTGGCATTTTCCGGCCGGGGCATCTATCCGTACTTTACCCTAAGCCGTGCTTTGCTCGGTGCTCCAAATAATACATGACACGTAGCGGCACACTGGCTCACTTAAAAGACGGCGGGCTCGTTTGCGCTCGCATTATTTGCACCTGTACTCGTGTAAGTGGTTTTATTTAGCGTGTCAAGACGCGTAACGTACTGCCGGAGGTACGCATGCGAGAGTGCCGAGGATGGAAAATCTATTCCCACTGTCAAAAGCGAACAAGAAGAAAATTAATTATCCTCTCAAGCCTTGTCTTAATTTGCGGAACAATAATCTTATTAACCTAAGCGTTGTCAACGTGAATGGATAAATTGAGCATGGATAAAATAGTAGCCTACAACTGGGTGAGTACCGCGCGATCAGTTGATATTCATTAATTTAGGTAAAATCGATCCCGTCAGCCTGTAATTTATCTCCAGCTAGAGACATTGACTTTTCGGCAAATAACAATTTTCGAGATTTTTACATTTCCGGACATCGCGTGCATCATAATGCGTATGCCATTATTTCGATACCGTTTTGATTTCGATACCCTATTTTTCTTTATTTTTGAATTAATCGTCTCGTTAAGCACTGCAATCATCAGGGCATTTCGTCATTGTTTGGCCGTCGAGAACGACGAAATTGGAGTAATTTACTTTTACCCCATCAGCGGAATTCCGGGGACAAACTTTCCTTTCCGTGAGTACCCCGTAACCGTGAACGATTTTCATCGGGCATTGCGGCACTTGGACTGTAAATGACAGGTATTGCCTTAAGTCCTTTTTCACTTTTTCTTCTTTCATTTGCGACGGAACTAACGACGGAACTCCGACTCAATTGACCGTGAAATAACGAGGGGGTAAAGTTGTCATTGTTCCCAGTTTTTTAAAAATATATTTGCAAATTGGTATCTTTTACTCCTGCACCACTTTTGTTTGTAAAAGCATAGAATATGGTTATTATATGGATAACCAAATATTTGGTTTGTACGAGAAAATTCTTCGTAACTTTTGGTTAATAATATCAAATATTGCGGTAGATCACGCCCAGATAACCAGAACTGAATTCCGCTTAACTTATCGTTAGAAGTTTCACGTCCAACAAGCGTGATACCGCGCACCGATTTTAGAATTCCATACAACGGGAGAATTATTCGTTTCTCAATTTTTACGATGACTCGATCTATCATCATTCGGTTTTTGTACGTAATAAGTCTCGCCAAAGGGGAACATCTTCTGGCGGAAGATCACAAAGTCCGATTAAGCTACGGAGACGTCCCTCGGCGCGATATCGCGACGAGGATAACGATCTCCTGGACCGGACGAGCCTTCTCCCTGGAGGACTCTCGCGGCCGAGCAATTAATAACCCGTGATCAGATCGACGCGAGATAGGTCAGGGCGAGTAATCGATCGACCGCCAATCGAGGCGCCTCGAGAGGCGGTTCATAAATCGGTCTTCCGGCAACCTGGCGACTCCATCCCGGGGCCGGAAACACCCTCGCCCGTTACCATTGCCACTGGCATTGCCATTGCCATTGTCATTGTGCCGATAACTCGGAGAACCGGCTCGGCGATTAGTTCCGCGTCTGGTCCGCCGCATATCCGACCGCGATCGATCGATCTAGGCAGGATCTAGGAAGTCCTCGATCTCGTGAAGGATCGACGTTCGTTAGCGCGCTTTATCGGCGATTCCTCGCGTTTAACGCCCACGATTCCACGATATGGACAGGGACTACAAATTGCCGTGAAAGTCCCACAGGACAGATCGGTGCCGATTGCGATCGATAAGACAACCGCGAATCGGCCTAATTCCTCCATATCGGAAAATCATCTGATGGCTCCTATTCTCCTTGCCGTATATGCCACCAATCGCAGAAAGCAATCCTTCATAAATTTCACAATTTCTCCGAAAGTCATCTAACACCTTTTAATCTCTTTGCTGCATATTCGACCAACCATTGCAAAGAACAATCCTTGATCAATTTTACAGTACATTGGAAACCCATCTAATATATCCTATCACGTTACCTACACGTCGGTAAACCGTAACGTTACAGTCAATTCCGCAGTTACAACAGGTTAAATTGAAAAAATGATGTACATGCAAATATCTCCATCAGACCGAGAGGAATTGATAATCGAGTGATAAGTGCATCGTGTGGAAAGTTAAGTGAATTTTTACAAGCATGAAAGTTGACTTTTCAAGGCGTTAGCGCACTCGATCTCGCGTTTTCTTTTTCATATTTGATTTTCTTTTTGTTCGGTACGAGGTGTCTTCTACTTCGGCAGCTGCAGGTGCGAGGCTGCAGGTGCCCAGGCGAATCGCTCGGCAGCAGGAAAACCGGGATCTTGCGCAATCGCGTAATCGCGTGATCGCATAATCGCGGTTCAATGTGAAGTTCGACCAGCGCCCATTGTCTGTACGGTGTGTACTTTTCGATCGGGAGTATCATTACGTGTACATAGACCGGGATACGGTAATTAGACGGTAACCAATGGTAGCCACGTACCTACTCCGGTAACCGGGAATTCCGCGTCGAGTGACACTCGAGGTGAGCAAACGTGCACTTACTATTTCGCTTCCATCTTCTTCACCTGGCGAACGCGAGACGGAGAATGGTAAACGGTTTATCGATTAACCCTTGACCGTTATTACGAAATGTTTACTCCACGGGAGTACATGGAATTAGTGATACCTAGGTTAGAGGGCTGCAGGTGAAAAAGTAAAACGGTCAGCAGACGCGGTGGTAATTGATAAATTGAACACTTTCTCTCGCCGGTGCAAGGATAATGAGACTTCCCTTGCAAGATGAATTAATGATATTTATACGTTTTATTTCACCTTCGGGAGCTTGATAAATCTGAGATTCAACTGAAATCAATAACTTTGACTCCAATCTGGTCCGTTTGATGGGAAGCGAGGGTGCGATGCAAATGAGGGCTCCGAAATTCGGAGCAGGATTTTCGGTCCGTGCAATTAGCGAGGCTTCGAAAGTCCTTTCAAGCCGCTTCGACGGCCGCATCCCGAGGAACGAGTTTTGCAACTAGACGACCTCCACAAGGCGAACGAAGCTAAGAGTCTCGTTTGCATGGTACTCGGTTAGCCAGCCACTGGTGGAACTCCTAATAAAGTCAACCGGCGACCGGGCATTCCTGAGCCTCGGGCTCGGTGTTGGCATTCGCCTCTTCAACGTCCGAGACGCGATGTCTTCTCTCTCACCTAAGGGAAATCGGATACAATTGTATAACGCGGTACAATAGTAACATCGGGAATGAGTAAATTAAATGTTTATACGAAAAGCTGGCAGCATCGCTCATATGCGTGTGACGGTGTAATAAACAATCTCCCAAGAAGTCGCTTGCACATCGGATCCACTCTTCATAATTCTAAATTACGAGTGTTAGTTCTTTCGTGACGGAGTGCCACTATGGTGGCTTCCGCCGATGAATTCCGACGTCTCCTAGAAGCCCACTTCAAGTGTTATTTAACCGTTTGAGTCCTAGGGGGTATTGAAAAAACACTGTTGAAGAATCCCGAACAGCGCAACCGCGCTTTCTCTAAATGAGTACGAGAAGACCCAAACAGCGCGATAGCGCTTTGTTTATTTTATGTCGATGAATCCCACTCGGCGCGATAGCGTTTCTTGAATTGTAAGATGTATTATTTACACCCTTGCGTTACGATNTTACGAGGTTAAAAGAAGGAGCTGTGTAATGTATTTGGGTCAGTGAATCTGAGCGACTTCGACAATCGGTGACGCACCGTCAGTTGTCCACAACGCTCGAAATGTGCTGGGTTTTTTCGATATAAAATCTGAACAGCGCAATCGCGCTGCCTGGGACTCAAACGGTTAATGAGTTTCGAAATTTCTATTCTAAAATAATATACCTTTTTGGTCGGAAAATCTTTAATAACCGCGGTCAGAAATACCTGCACTCGACGTTTCGTGTGCCACCGGAAGTACATCGAGTCGGTGCAATGGCCCCGGCTGCTTTAGTTCGGATCAAGTAGCTCGGTGTCCCATTACCGAGAGCGCGTGTTACGCGTCGCTGAAATAACGAAATATCCCATGTCGGATTGCCTCCGTGTAATTAACTCCCTCCAGGGGTAGAGCTTCGCGCGATTTCCTTGCATTTTTCCCTGATTCAGTGCCTACTCGCGGTTTCCATTGACGCGCGCCTATCTACAATTACATTCAATGCGGATACGCGAGAGAATTTTATAATTCGATACCGCGCGATTCTACACGTGTGAATTCTTGCGTGAACGTTAAATCTACACGTGTGAATTCTCGGGCGAGTATTAAATCTGGCACGACGCGGAAAGCAGGAAAACGCGCGGTTCGATAACGTTACAAAGAATAAACCGGGTGTTTTGATCAATTTCCGCCCAGGGTAAATGTACAATAAATGCAGTTGATTATTTCATGGTTCTACCCGTGTACTTGTACTTTTTCTTTTCCGCGATTATTGGATATGACTTCTGCGCAGAACATCTCGATCCCGTAGAGTGGAAACCCACTAGAATGGAAATTTATTGTTGTTTTCGAAATAGATGCATTAATGCATCTGATCGAAAATTAACATACGAGATTTCGTAATTTAGTATACGTGCCCTCTAAAATTCCTACACCTGTACACTAAAATCACAACAGAATTGTATACACAATTTCGAAGTATTGCATCTTGAAAATGATTTCATGCATACAATATTTCCAGCAGATATTTTTGTTAGTACGCGAATAGTCGAGGCTCGATAGGGTTACGAAATGGCTCTTGGACAAATCGAGCGACTCTTTTTACTCGAGCCAACCTGTTCACAGTCCGTATCACTCGTCAGGACTCTCGTCCTTTCGAGTGGCCGAGTAATCGGCTCGGGTCGACACACAAGGTTCGGTGGCTCCGATTACTTTTGCATATATGGAGTCGCGTTACCTGGCCCGT